GGCGGAAGTAGAAGCCAGATAGAAGCCCGGAAGTAGAAGCCCAAAAGGAGCCGCGGAGAGCGGACCGGTAGAGGCTTTGGGGCAGACTGAAGCACAAAAGGAGCCGCGGGGAGCGGACCAGAGGAGGCTTCAGCTGGGAGAACCCAGGGCAGGCTGTACGGAGAAGGAAAATAAAAAGAAAAGGTTGTCCACTACCAGACTTTGTCGTGTGTCCTTCCTGCCGGCCGGGAGCGGACATCGACATTTGGAGGCCCGCCCGGGGACTGATCACCCCCGAGACGTGGAAGTGGACAACGCTCCAGTACAGAGCTGCGAGACAGGTGAGTTGGGGATAAGCCTGGGCTCTGGGTGGCGCGCACCTACAGGGCTTTTAGACTCCCCTCAGGCTCACGCGTAAGTGGCGGATTCCTTGGGCCTCACGCGGTGAGTAACATATTAAAAAATGGGAAACATGTTAGGTAGCGGCACTAAGAGCGAGGGTGGTTGTGGAGAAAGCTCTCAAGAGCTTACAAAAGTACGCAGGGTATCTGAGCAGGCCCAGTCGGGGAGCTCCCGAGAGGGGCCCGTCAAGGGGAACAAGGATGCTAAGGAGGAGGACGGGGCTCTAGCCTCGGAGTCGTCTGACTCCGAGGACGAGGGAAAGTTGAATGGCAAGGAGGCCAAAGAGACCAGCTGTCAGGAGCCTAAGTCGCTCAATAAGGAGTCGCAGGGTTCTTTTCCAGCGTTGCCCCTCGAATTGCGCTCTGCTCAACCTGGTCTGCGGAGGAGTAGAGAGCTCCTGAGCGCTCCCCGGCGCGAGAGGGAGGCGAAGCCTTCCGCCCCACCTTGGGGGCCGTTTCAGGAGGCGATTCCTCGCCACGAGGCGGCCGCCTGGGAGCTCTCTCCCCTTTCGCCAGAACAGGAAGTGATGCACGGGCCCCCATTTTCCGCCCAATCACGGCCGCTGTCTTATGCTCCGCCGCCGGCGGGTCGGTATTTTTACAGGCGGCTTTGGCAGGGGGGACGCTTGTCTCATGAGGTACATCCACCTGGGATAGATAGTGGCCCCTACGGGATATTTCCTGTACAAGTAGCTATGGGCCAGGGACACAATGTATGGGAGCCTTTTGAGATAAAGCAGATTAGAGAACTTAAAAATGCAGTTACAACCTTTGGGCCGACTGCGCCTTACACCATTGCCATGCTGGAGAATCTGTCTTCTGGGCCCCTCACCCCCGCGGACTGGATTCAGCTGGCAAAGGCCTGTCTGCCCTCGGGCAGTTACCTGGATTGGCGAGCCTGGTATGCAGAGTTCTCTGCCGAGCAGGCTGAGAAAAACGCCAATCGAGGAAACCGGGGGTGGAACAAGGAAATGCTTATGGGAGAAGGTCGGCACGCTGATGACCAGACCCAGTTCCCCGGCGCTGTCTATGAGCAAATCAATGCCATAGGACTCCGCGCCTGGAAGCAAGTAAGTGGTGCTGGAACAGCCTCCTTGTGTCTTTCAAAAATAATTCAGGGTACCACAGAGCCATTTGTTGACTTTGTGGCCCGAATGCAAGATGCTGCCGATAAGATATTTTCTGATCCGGGAGTGGCTCGACCGCTGGTAAGGCAGCTGATTTTTGAACAGTGTACAAAGGAGTGCAAGGCAGCGATAGCTCCTCATAAGAACAAGGACCTCAATGCCTGGATTAGGATATGCAGAGAGATAGGGGGGCCGCTCTCCAACTCGGGAGTGGCTGCTCTCCTGGCCGCGGCTGTACAGCAGAGGGGACCTCGCGGGTTAGAAGGGGAATGTAAGGCTAAAGGGTGTTTTGCCTGCGGGGAGCCAGGACACATTAAACGTCATTGCCCAAACAATGCAGATGCTAGGCCTCGCCCTAGGAATGAAGAACCATATGTTTGTGGGCGATGCAAAAAGGGATCACACAAAGCTGAGGAGTGTAGGTCGGTCTTTGATGCTCAGGGCAACCGTATTTGTGGACAAGATGCTAGAGGGCCAAAAAACGGCCAGAGGGGGCCCCCTTCACAGGCGGGCCCCCGCCCCAGAGACAGGACAGCTCAGGGTGGCAGCCTTCAACAAGGGCCACCCCTGGGTCAGCAGGTGTGGACCTCAGTGTCGCCTCCAGACTTATACAGAAGGTCACCATTAGGATGGATGGCGTTAGGACCCTAAATGACATGCAAAAGCTATTGGGAGACATTAATTGGATTAGGCCATATTTACATATACCAAATTCAGATCTCAAACCCCTGTTCGACCTTCTGAAGGGAGACCCAGATATAGCCTCCCACAGGAGGCTCACTCCTGAGGCAAGAGCTGCCTTACAGAGAGTGGAAAAAGCCTTAGGTGGGGCTACCTTACACAGAATTAAACCAGGGCGACCCTTTGATGTCTGTTTGCTACAGACTAGTCTACAGCCCACAGCGGTGATTTGGCAGAAAGGACCACTACTGTGGATACACCCTAAGGTCTCACCTGCAAAAGTCATAGAGCATTACCCGGAGGCAGTCGCTTCATTGGCCCTTGAAGCGCATGATAGAGCTGTCCAACATTTTGGCTCAGGACCACAAGCCATCCGAGTACCCTATACCGCCAGCCAGATCAAGACCCTGGCTGCCTGCATAGATACTTGGGCCATTCTGAGATGTGTTTTCCATGGGGATATAAACAATCAATACCCTAAAGACCCTATCTTGTCATTTGTCACTCAGCACCCTATAATTTTTCCAAAGGTTACTGCCTCTGAGCCATTAGTCCTAGCAACTACAATATATACAGATGGCTCCAAGACGGGGATAGGTGCCTATGTGATCCTAGGCAAGCCCCCGGTTACCATACAATTTGAACCTGATCAGCCTCAGGTGGTGAAACTGCAGATCGTTAAAATGATTCTTGAACGGTTCTCAGAAGCCATTAACATTGTCTCCGATTCTAGGTATGTGGTCAATGCTATGCAAGTGCTTGAGACTGCCAGTTTAATTAGATCCACTTCCACAGTGGCTGGACTGTTCCTGTCTATCCAGACATTGCTTCAGAACAGACACCATAAGGTCTTCACCACCCACATAAGAGCACATACATCCCTGCCGGGGCCCATGGCACAGGGGAATGCGGCTGCTGACACTGCCACTCGCCCGTTATGGATTTTTACCTTACTAACACCAATCGAGCGAGCCCGTGCCTTCCATGATAAATTTCATGTTAATGCCAGGACACTAGCAAACCATTTCCATGTTTCTAGAGCAGATGCACGAGATATCGTGCGACTATGTGACTCCTGTGCCACATACAAACCTGCCATACCGATGGGAGTAAACCCTCGAGGTTTGATCCCTGGTGATGTTTGGCAGATGGACATCACACATATACAGGAGTTTGGGACTCTTAAATATGTTCATGTTTCCACAGACACCTGTTCTCGCGTCATATTTGCAACAGCAGAAACAGGTGAAAAAGTGTCTAATGTGATCAATCATTGCCTGGCGGCTTGGGCCGCATGGGGCAAACCAAAAATATTAAAAACTGATAATGGACCAGCCTATATAGGCAAAGCCTTCAATGAGTTCTGCAAAATGATGGAGGTTCAATTAAAACATGGTATCCCATACAATCCCCAAGGTCAAGGAATCATTGAGAGGGCTCATAGAAGCCTCAAAGAAATTTTACAAAAACAAAAAGGGGGAGTAGGCCAAGGCCTGGCCCCAAAGGCACGATTATCCATGGCACTATTCACACACAATTTTTTAAATTTAAATAATGATAATCGCTCCCCAGCTGTGGAGCACTGCAACCCTTCCCCCAACCATAAAGGGTGGGTGAAGTGGAAAGATGTCCTGACAGGACAATGGATGGGCCCGGATCCGGTAATCAGCTGGAACCGAGGCGCGGTTTGTGTTTTCCCACAGGAACCGGGACGAGAACCACTGTGGATACCGGAGAGACTGACACGGGCAACAAAGCCCTCGACTGAAGATCAGACCTGCCCTACCGGAGATCCATCACAGACCAACCAATAAGATGAATAGAAATAGCGGTAGCCCGAAATGGACAAGAAGATCCTCAGGCATATGCATGGCTTGCTCAATTGGCCCACGACCGAGTCTAGATATGGCGGGCATCCCTCATTCTCCTCCATAAGGTGACAATACACAGCAGGGTAGGTGAGTCAATGACGGGTAAGAGCGTGCCTCCCCAGCATGACTCGACCTAAGCCAGGCCCTACCCCATCCTGCACGTAAGCCGCTGGACTGTTAGATGCTGCCCAGGTCTAAATTTCTCTCCGAGGGGATTTTCTTTACGGAGAGGAAATGAGTGCAAGCTTGTGTGCATCCAGGTTCCGTCCAGTTTGTGCCTGGCCCTAGAAAAAGGACGAGGGCCTCAGGGCCTTGGCAGACCATGGGACGGCCGACCAGGGTCTAAGCCAAGGACCTACGGTGGGCCTACGCATAGGGCATAAGCCTCTGCACCCAGTCCAGGAAGGGCTACGATGCGCACATTCATAAAAAATAAAATAGGGGGAGATGTTGGGAGCCGCAGCCCCGAGCCCGGTCGCCTCACTTGGCGGACGTGCGGCCTGTGGTAAAGAGCAAAGCCTGGGGTAGATTACCCCTCCCATCGAATATGTTAGTTTCCTGCTTACCGCGTAAACAACCCGCTCAACAATATAGTCTGCCTGGCAACTGATGATGTTAGCCAATCAGCTTGCCTTGCTTACTTTAACATGATTGGACACTGTACCCGTATATATACCGGTGCCACCCCTGGGCGGAAGTAGAAGCCAGATAGAAGCCCGGAAGTAGAAGCCCAAAAGGAGCCACGGAGAGCGGACCGGTAGAGGCTTTGGGGCAGACTGAAGCACAAAAGGAGCCGCGGGGAGCGGACCAGAGGAGGCTTCAGCTGGGAGAACCCAGGGCAGGCTGTACGGAGAAGGAAAATAAAAAGAAAAGGTTGTCCACTACCAGACTTTGTCGTGTGTCCTTCCTGCCGGCCGGGAGCGGACATCGACAGGTCATACCTTGACAGACTGTAAGATACTGGTGCCCTGCTCGGTTTCAATTTTGCAATCATCACACTCCATATTTTGGACTTTGACACAGCTGGACCCTGATGACTTGATATCCAAACCTAGAAGTACAAAAAAGAAAAATGAGTTAGCACTAGTGAGCTCCAAAACTCACTTTCATATCCCCTGGAAATTCAACTCCTCAGTCTACCCGTAAGATCACCAAATCCCATAGAGAACGTATTTGTCAACAACCTCCCTCTAAAAGTGAGAGGTCCCCACCACAGACAAGGTCAAGTGCAACGACCCTCCTGCCAGTTTTTAGAAAGAATTACTTCTGTATCATCTACAGAGAGGAACCGTAAATAAAAGAGGTGAGACACTGCAACCTGATGTGTACACATGTCACATATCATGGCCTCTTCCCCACCTAAAAAACAACACACACACACACACACACACACACACACACACACACGAATAAGATTACAGATGGTTAATGTGTCATGATAAAACAGGTCAGTCTGTCAGTTTCTCTTATATTCAGAAAGATTTAAAGATCTGCTTTTGAACCTTCCCCATATTAAAAGCATTACAGAAATAGCATGAATCAGTATATATGATCAAGATTTAGGTTTTCAAATCCTACGTCTAACCTTTTATGCCTAAGAAAATGAGAATATTGCTATGCAGCTATATGACAGGGTACTTGAGTTAACTTTTAAAAATGGGATCTACTCTGAAAAAACCTAATACTGAACAGTATTTAAACCATAAGACTGTGGATAAATAAGAAATGTATCTGAAGAAAGGAAAATAAGGAATCACAGGCACCAGCCTCAGCTGTCAATTTGAGGTGGAAACTTAGTGTCTTAGCTACTTCTCTCTTGCTGCTGGGATAAAATACCTGACACCTAAAATTAAAGAGAAAGACACATTTTGCTTACAGTTTGTAGAGGTTTCAGTTCATAATTGTCTGGCTCCAAAGCAGAGTGGCAGATGGCAGAAGGGCAACAGTTCATGGCAGTGGAAGACAGCAAAAGCAACCAGAACAAAAGGAAGGAGCAAGCCTCTTTTCTTCCCTTATACAGTATGCAGGCCACCCTAGGCAGTGGCCTTCGGGCAGGTGTAGCACTCACACCCCAACCCCAGCACTAGGCAATGAATCCATCACAAACTCCAGATTCCGATTCAGCCACCTCCAAAAAGCATCCCCCCATGATTACATGAGGCTTGAGGGGGATATCCAGACACAGACCACAACACTTAGGAATCTCTATATCAAAATAAAATAATTAAAAACACTAATTAACACTTAATACATGTACATATTGATAATTTCCCTTAAACTAGACTACAGAAATATATGCTATGTTCCCTAAGCACAAGCCATTGGGAATTTGGTGTCACAATTCCAAGAATTACAGCTTAAAAAATTAATTTCCATAATTGCATGGCAATCTCTGTAGAACTGTAAAATAACAGCAGTATTTTGATTGAAAATAAGAATATGTAAAAAGACAATTTTATCCTACATGAAATAAACATAACAGCAAAATTTACTTCACAGTTCAGTACAGTAATGTCACAACAAAACTTTGGATCTAAGGCAGCAGTAATAGAAATGGGAAGAAGCAGATTCTGAAGACACTTCTAAATAACTAAATACGTGAGCATTTGACCCTGTCTGAAAATAAAAAATAACAAAAGCTGGGGATGTAGCTCAGTACAAAGGCCCTACATTCAATCCCCAATACCTCAAACAAACAAACATAGTGTAGGTAGGGTTTGGAATCATGAACAATTGGCTTATACACTTTTTTTGTACCACGAATCAAACTTGCAACCTTGTGTTTGCCAGGCAGGCACCTGTGCTGCCAAGCTATAGCCCCCATCCTGGATTACAATTGTTAGCTTAGATTTTGTTATTTTCTAACTGTCTCACCCTGATGAAGCTATTTAACATTTAGGTTGCTTCTATTAACAAGTAGGTAGTGACAGTTAAGGATACTTCTATTTAACAGATAGGTAGAGAAGCTAAAGTTAAGAGAAGCAGTGTTAATGTTACAACAGGTAATTATGCACTAGCAAAGTTATGCAGATTTGAGGGGTCTGCTGCATAGATGCATGGAAACAGTAAATTGTAAATGGAGTCCTAGCTCTAAAAAAAAGTAGCAACAAATAATGTGGTTTGGAGTCATCAACAAAAGTAGTGATTTTTATCTATGCTGCCCAACTGCTCTTAGCTCTCAGCATTGAAATCTACGGAGTCCTAAGGACAAATCCCCACCAGCGCCCCCAGCGGTTACATATTCACTTAGGCGGCCTGCAAGAAACTGAGAAGTAAAGCACAGCGGTTGAGTGGATTCCAGTCCCAATCCCAGCTCGTCCACTTTATACTGAAGAGAGAGAAGGCACTTCTTAATCTACAGCAGGTAGAACGCAAATTCCATGAAGTTATGAATTCTTCGTTTGTTCACAATAAATGTTTACTCTACATACTTCCTAAAAAATCTCGAGTTGCTCATATGACATGGTGAAAAGAATAGTCTACTTCATAATGCAAGTGTAAGGATAAGAAGATTATCTTAGGCATGCTCAGTGTCACTATGACCATCATCAGTGTACCATCCCTCAGTCGCCCGCGGGAAGAACGCGACCCTGAGGAACTCATCCTAGAAAACCATGAGCACACAGTGGCCTGCGTCCGGGACTGAACACGGAACCCAAATGCCTAGGACGCATCTCGCAGGCATTATCAATGAAATTTCTCAGGTAGTCTTACTGGATTTTTCTTTAAAGCTTGCTATCCCAAGAAAACGTATACAAACAAAAGGAAAGAAGACATATCAGTAAGAAGCTAGGCACTTAACTGACACTAAAATGCTTGCTGCCAGGAAGGCAGGTTAGGTACGCGGTCAGCCCTGCAAGATGCAAGCCAAGGGAAACATGGACTGCCACAGTGCTGAACAGATGATCAAGTAACCCCAACCCCGAGGGACGATTTTGCTAATGATAATGTAATGCAGGAGACGTATAGAGGCTCCAAAATATATCCGATATGGATTATTCCAATCGTGCTTGCATTCGATTTAAAATTCCTCCCCACTGGCACCCTCATCTCTAAATACTACCCAGAAACTAACACAGAGGAAAAAAGGAGGCGGCTACCAAACTTTAGGGGCGCGTCCACAGCCACCGAGGCGCGGGGGTCGAGGCTGTCGGCCTCGATGGTCGTCTCGCACGACGCCTCGTCGTAGGTCACCTGCAGGCCGTCCAGGCCCCGCGGGCCGCCCTCCGCGTTGCACGCCGCAACGAGCACGCGGTCACCGTCGGGGTAGCACAGGGGGTCCAGGGCCCTCACGGCCACGTGGCACGGAAGCCGCACCCGCAGCCGCCCGAAGGGGCTCACCCGCAGCGCCCACTCCTTAGCGGCGCGGCTGGTGGATCTCAGCTGAGGCGTCTGTAGCTCGGATCCCGGCCGCCGCTCATCCCCGCCCGAGCCGGACGACCTCGTCTGGACAGCGCCCGGGGCCCAGGGCCCCGCGCCGAATTGGAGCCGACCCAGCCAGAGGCGGCCGAGCCCCCGGCCCGCGCAGGGGGCAAACATGACGCCGCCGCCGTCCGCCAGACACCTCAGCCGCAAGTCTCTAGTCCCGATAATCGACTGATCACCGAGCTGCCGAGAGTCCACGAGAAGACGTCTGTGAGGCTTTGCTAAAGCAACAGCGAGCCGGTTCAACCGATGAGGCGAGTTACACCTAACCGGTCCAAGCTGCAGGAGCAATTTGGAATTTGAAGGCTCTCACCACAACCAGCGACTCACATTCCATGCCTACTTCCGCCCCTCTCGCGATAGCCTAAGGGATATGTAGTTCTAAGGGAGCCAGACGTCCAGATGCTCTGATAGAGCAAAAACTACATGTCCCTAGAGGCAATGCGCGGTGTAGGCGGGGTGGATATTAGACAGGGCTTGTACCTCGCGCTCCCTTCACCTCAAGCCTATTGACCATTGGAGCAGCTGGGAGAGGCGGGGAATTACGCAAAAATCCAACTGGCCAATGGAAAGTGTGGGAGGGGCAAGATTGCTATAGCTGCGTAATCACCTTGGATACCGAAGACGCTACTTTTTGTTTGGAGAGGTGAAGCTTTGGAGCGAGACCCAGGAGGTCAAAATCCAAAGAGGAAAAATAAAAGCCTAAATAAGGACCAGAACCAAGGGAAGGGGTAAGCAACTACTCCACTTTTTAAAGATTAGAAGTTGGTACAAAATAAGGTTACCCTCCGTGGATGATTGGTTAGATCCGAGCTTCGTTAATCTAGTGTCGGGGGCCATGTATGGGCTGCCCTTGCAGAACAGTAGAGACAGATTTGTGCTTTTTGAGGGAAGTCTTTCTTCCGTAAAAAATACAGGTCTTATTATATAGTCCAGGCTGGCCTTGAATTCACTATGTAGTCTCGGCTTGCCTCAGCTGACTTATAGTGATCTTCTTGCCTCAGCCTCCTTGGGTGCTGGGATAATAGGTGTGTGCCAGCAAGTATAATTTATGGCTTTATGTTTTAATTTCACACCCTTAAAATAAGAAAAATAATACTTTCCTTGACTTGTCTTAAAGGGTTTTTGTGAGGATCAAATAAGATAATGGATAATAACACTGTTCACTACAAAATTCAATGTAAAGTATTTTGTTTTTATTTTAAGGATAGCACTGATCCTAAATCACCAAGAAAAATTTGAATTTTAAAAAAGGTCATGGGCTGCAAAGAACCAAGCACTAGAGGATTCTGGCCAGCGTGTTTATCACTTGAGCTCCCAAGAATTGTGGCCATCGAATTGGCCAAAGGCAGCAGTTCTCCAAGGCGACCAGCTTCAGTGCTTACATTTTATCAAGTGGTATTGTTTGTAAATGTCTTGACTAAAGAATTTATGGAATGGTTTATGTGAGGTGAGAGGGACAGAGAAAGGGAGAGAGACGCCTTCTCATTTTTACTGCTCACAGAAAACCATAAAACTTACGAAAGACTTTATGGAATTGCTTAATATGATCCATCTTTATCTTAAAGAAACAGGTCGGCGCGACACATATAAACCAGGGACAGCCAAAAAAACAATAGGACAACCTGTGCTCTTTCCACCGAACATGGTTGGCTCTTTTCTTATAGTATTTTATTCCAGCCCTTAAAATCGAGGATCATAGGTGGTGGAAGAGATCAACACTACTCTTAAATTCTGATCTCTCAAATGATGGAGGGAGGAAGATCAGAAAAGAGGAAAGGATAACTTGAAAAAAGCAACACTGAATTTTAGTGTTGATCTCTTCCTCCTTATCTACCCGGTCCCTCTCCTTTTCTCTGTCCCTCTCACCTCACATAAACCATTCCATAAATTCTTTAATCAAGACATCTACAAACAATACCACTTGGCAAAAAGTAAGCACTGAAACTGGACGCCTTGGAGAACTGCAGCCATTGGCCAGTGCGATGGCCACAATTCTTGGGAGTGATAAACACACTGGCCATAATCCTCATGGCCCTGGTTCTTGGTTCTTTGCAGCCCATGGCCTTTTTTAAAATTCAGTGTTGCTTTTTTCAAGTTATCACTTCCTCTTTTCTGTGCTCCTGGTCTTCCTCCCTCCTCCTCTGTGAAGACCATTGCTACGTGCTGGCTTTGAGGTTCTGCAAGAGTACAATGAATGCACAGTGTCATTGTGTTGCATGTGATCCTAATTATTCAAACTGTATTTTTAGTGAATTCCCACAGTCATAACTATGGAAAGAAATGTGAAAAAGGCACTGGTTTTAGCAAATTAAGAAGGTGCTTAAGTTTGCTGTAGAAATTCTAGATATTTTTAAATTAAGTATGAATCTTTATTATGTTTATATAGTATTTTTCTGAGCTGTAGTTAGTTGTCTGTATAGTCATTATTTCACTGTTTTCAAATAAACAAAACTAAATCAAACTGATGAAAAATGCATTTTCTGATCACATGTGGTCAAAATTGAGAAAATTATTGATATGAAAGTGGATGTAAGATATTAGGGAGTCGCTGACACTTAGAAACAGTCCAATATCAGATTTCTACATGGCTTTCATTTGATGGACTCAGAGCTTTCAAAACACGTCCACATGTCCCAGCTCACTGTACCCTCACAAGCACTGTCTGTGTAGCAGGACAGTTACTGTTTTTGATTACACACAAGGAAACCTTCGGAACCGTTATGATTAGGCAATTAAAGTACCTGATCCTCTTCTGATGCTACTAGAAAGTTCTAACTTTCTGACACTTTTGAGGAGAAAAGCAATGCATCTCATAAATAGAGAATCGGATATAACTTTTTCTCTTTTCATAGTTTTTCCTCTTTAACTGAAAAAAGAACCTCATTTCTATTGGTATGAACATACACTTCTGGTGAGAGTATGTTAGCATGACTTTTCAGGGTTTACTTCATCAATAAGCATGAAAAACCTTATAAGTATTTGTATTTAACTGGACATAGTGGCGCATGCCTGTAAGCCTAGCACCTTGAGAGGCTGAGGCAGGAGGATTGTGAGTTTGAGTTCAACCTGGGAAACATTATTAATAACTTAAGTAAGACCTAATCTCAAAGCAAAAGTAGCAGAGAGAATAGCTCCGTGGGAAGACCCTGGATTCAGTCCCCAGTTCTGGGGGGAAAAGTGTTATCTACGACCCATAAATTGTGTTTTTAGGGCTGAAAGCATACAATTAGGGATGTTCAAGGAAAATATTATAGAAAATAATTGCATCAATTCAAATACCCTCAAATGCAAAAGTAGTACTTAAATTAATACACGTTTAGAATATTTTGCAAATTAAAAATTGTGTCTCAAACATGAGTCAATCATGTAAGACATTCCAAAACATAATGTTCAGTAAAAAAGTTAATGTCAAATTATGTCTAATATTATCCCCATTCTGTAATAATTATTGAGATAAATTTAATGTAAAATTTTATAGCATAGAAACAATGGCAGAAAGGTATGTACTACTTGATAATAGGAATCTCCAAGCAGTGAGATAATGGTTACTACATTTTTTGGGTTATTGATAGTGAAGGCATTTTACAACTATAAGGAAATAAGTTTAAGGCATTTCTTAGCACATTTTGTTTCCCAAGACTGATGCAATAAATCAAAGATTTTTGTGATTGAAATACAGATGTAGATGGGTAAAGAGTTACTTACACATCTAAATGTAAACCTCAGTGAATGTGATTTATAGTTTATATTCCTCAGCGCGGTCAGCAGAGGTCATGAGAGAATTGTCAGAGAAAAGTAAACCAAAACAGAGTTAACTAATTGGGTTTCAGGGAGGGAACTGCTAACAATCTGAATATAAACTATTTTATAAGAACTATATGTTATGATTTCTATTTTCTTATGAAACATTAATAAACTCAAAGCATAAATTACTTACAGACAACACTGAGAAGTATTTATGAAATATGTAAGTAGACCCATTTGAAATCTGATGGGAAACGGCAAAGCAAGTTGTGTTTTTCCCCTTTATAATCGGGATGACTTATAATTGTTTTCTAGAGTCATTGTACCTGCTAAGACTGCAACTATGATATTGATAGGGAGAGGCAAAAACAGAAGTCACTTTTATTTACAGTCTGATCCAGGAAAACATTTGGTGTTTTACCAGCAACTATGCAATTTGCGGTAGATTTTCCATAGATGCCATTTATCAGATTAAGAAGCTTTAATTCCTAAATTTGCTTGGACTTTTTATCACAAGTGCATGCTGCAGCTTGTCCAGTGTTCTTTCTGTATCATTACGGTGATTGTTGGGTTCTTTGCATTCATCAGTATGGTGTGTTACAGCAATGGAGTTTTCAAATCTTGAGTCACCGTCATTTCCTGGAAGAACTTTGCTTGATCACATTTATGTTGTTCTTTTTGTAGAAAGTGCTAGATTCAACATGCTAATACTTCCTAAGCATATTTTTATTTTGTGTTTATGAGAGATATTGCTCTGAAATTTTCTTTTCTTTTCCTTTTTTCCTGATTTTGATACCAAATTACCTAAGGGGGCAAGTGTTCCATCTTTTATTTTCTGGAAGGTTTGTAGAAAGTTGCTGTTAAGGTTTAACCTTATTTTTCCCGCTAGGAAGTTAATATGCTTTATTATCTGAAATCCTCAATCTGAAGTCTCTCCCCACTTCGCCTGCTCTTCACTTCTGGAGCTCGCATGTGAACATACGTTTAAGTTTCTCATTTTATCTTTCATGTCCCTGAACTATGTCCCCATCTTCCGTGTTCACATAAACTGTTCTTCATCCTCTGTGTTTCCTTCTGGACAGGTCCTCAAAGCCGTGTCCTGATCTGCTAATTCTTTCCCGTTTCTGCTAATTCAGTGCTTAATATCTGCATAGAGTTTTCAACCCAAGGGCTAATTTTTCACTTTTAAAAGAGGTATTTAACTTTTTATCTATTTTCTTTTAGACTGCCCTATTTATTTATTGTGGTTTCTTTACATTTTCTTATATCTAATTATCTTAGGTTTATTTTAAATTATTCTATGATATTGTTTTGAGGTTGCTATTTTTCTTTTGTTGCGTAAACAAACTTCCTCTGATGGTGGCTTATTTCTTGTCATGACTGGCAAATTTCTGTTTGTAACTCATCTTCAGTGAAACTTCTATTTTGTGAAAATCCTTTAAATTCAGATTATGATAATGATCCTCAGAAACCTGCTTCACTCAGAGCCCCACCAATTTAGTGGTCATGGGCCACCTTTTCCATTTTCATTTATTTTGTTTTTGCTTTATATCACTTTGTATAAAATAATTAATTAGAAGAATAAATATAAGGTATGAATAAGGTTAAGGAAAATAGTAAAATGAATATTTTTGTACCCAACATCTACTTTAAGAATTGAGACTGCTATAATTCTAGCAATCAGACAGCTGAGGCAGGAGGATTGCCATAAATTCAAGACCAGCTTGGAACACATAGTGAGCTCAAGGCCATCCTAAACTACATAGAGAGACTCTGTCTAAAGAAGAAGAAATAAAAATTAAAACAAACAAACAAACCAGAAAGAGGTGAGACCTTATCAGTGAGCTTCGTTTTTTTCCTTGGTCCTGTGTCTTTGGCTTTTATCCCGAGGTGGGTCAGACTGAGAACCCTGTGGAAGCAAAGAGGTTCCTAAGATCTAGCAAGGGAGGGAAACCCCGTTTGTTTATTACTGTCTGTTGGCTCT